AAGGAGCTAGAAAACAAATGTCCATTTGCAATTCTAGTCACCAATTGAGTATGTTGAATCCCTATTCAAAGTTTATATGTGTTGACCAAAAAAGAAGTAGCTCCTTTGCTGTGGTTTCTGATCCTTAGACAAGACAGGACATGCATTTTTTTTTTAGCATGCATAAATATTTATAGATAAATATCTGTGTGTACAGGCAGACCTTGATTTTTTTTTTTTTGTTTCTGTCAGCATTTGGAAAACCATTATTTTGAAGACTTGATTTTTAAAGATTATTAAGTGAGGTAGCATCCATGATGAATTTGTCCTCAGGGCTCCTCCTGGAAAGTGTTAACCAGCATTGGTCACCCGTCTCTGGCTATAAGAAGCTTGGAGCGGATCATTACTGTAATCCCAAAGCAGAAATTGAACAGTGTATTTTCAGATGTGTAATCCGTGGGTTGTCTGTCAAAAAAAGTCAGTGGTTCAGCAGTAATGTGAGTTGTGTGAGTTCTGACAACCCACAGCTCCTGTCTGCCCTGGTGGCCTTCCACCATCTGCATCTCTCATCGTCTGATCCCTCTGCCCAGTGCCTCCACCTTCCCCTAGTCCTCATGTTATGAAGGATTACATTTCAATGCCAGTATTTTTTAAAGGGTATGGGTTATTTGAGGTGCAGGCTGTACGTGCAAAGATATGATAGCTGTAGCACAGTAGATGGCCCAAGACGGGTTGGCCGCGAAAGCTCTCTGCTTCTGGCTAAGCTTTTGGTATTTTCAGCTGTGCGCCAAAGACACGGGGGGCATCAGGACAGCTTGGGTTATCAAAGAGGTATTCCACAAAGGGAGATCTGTGCACCAGGCACAAGGGACAGAGGTGCCATTCTGCTGCAGAAGGAGAGGAACCCTTGAGGTGCTCCTGGCCCTACCAGGCCTCGGACGCTTGAGAAGCACAAAGCGCCCCTGTTTGCTCCCTTGTTCTATTTTTCCACATTCTGCCATCAAATCGATTTGACAATTGATAACTTCACCCTCAGTTAATCAGGGTTTGTACCAGTGTATGTGAGAGCAGATCCTGGGCCTGGCCCAGTCTGGGTCCTTTGTCCCTGTGCTTTTGGATCAGGCTCTAGCTGTTTGGCTGGACTCGGCCTAGTAGGACACTGTAAATGGCAGGCTTGACTGCTGCTTTTTATTTATCCATATTACGTTCATCAAATGAAGCCAGAGCTTCCTGGGACCACCCGAAGCTTCCTGGAGGGGGTACTATCACAGAGAGATGTGCCTCTGGAAGGCAGACGTGTGTCTCTGGGAGGCAGACATATGCCACAGACTTGGATCACTCCTTTTGGACTTTGTGGTTATAAGAGCATTTTCGTACAATATATTTCCTTGGGGGAATCAGATGGACTTAGATCTCGGATACCATCCCCACTAAGTGATACAGTAAAAATAACCTATTATTCTCTGGTTCTGACCTGGGCGGTGACAACATATTGTTTCAGCATCTCTGTCAGACGATTTCCCTTAAGAGCCATTTTAACCTCACCCAGTGGGACATAACTAAAGGAAATGAAACTCCAACCCCATTAAGGAAAAAGACAATGCCTTTCACTAAACAAACTTGATTTTTCTTGGCTTTTCTTCGCCAAGGAGAATCGCCCGTACCCCCCACCCTTGCAGCCTTTGTAGACAGTTCCTGTAATTGGGAATGGCTGGGTGGACACCAATGGTTGGCAGCAAAGGGGGATAAATCCGACATCCCTTGAACGTGACACGGGCTGGGACCGCAGTCCCAGGTGGCCGCTTAGCGTCAATTTCTATGGTATTGGTAAACGGTACGTGCCTGCCAGCCACAGCTGCTGGCCCTCAAAAGACAATTGGGATTTTAGCAAGACTAGATAAGAGATATGCCGTAAAACTGGGCTGTTACTAATTTTGTACAGGCGTTGGATAGGTACTGTATTGTGCCCCACCAGTGAAAGCTGGTGACTTGCAACAGAGTCGTGGTGGTCCATCCCCTGGCACCCATACGGTGAAACAGCCACCCCAAAAGCAAGCGTGACCTTGAGGATTTGTCATTTGTGGGCTAAGGGAAAGATTATGATCCATCTTCACTTGCCAGCTAAGGCTGAAACAAAATTTACGCTCAGTAATTAGGTTTTCAAGGGCAGCCATTAATTTGGGGTGTCTTAAGACAAATTAGAAATTCCTTTTTAAAATGCAGTCCCACGCAGTTACCAAGTAGGAGTCTGAAAAGGCACTGTTTCACACTTCGCGTGCGGATAATTAGGACAAACCACAGGGTGATCCCCTTGTCTCAGGGAGAGTTAAGGTTTACAGAACACAATCAATTGGTCAGGCTTGCAAATTCTGGGTAGAACTGAGTAACACCTGGGTCAACGTAAATCCGCAGGCAAGAAGATTAGAGCTGGCAGGAAAATAAAGAACTCTGTGTTGCAAGATAAAAGTAGATTGCAAAAAATTGCAATCCTGGAAGATTTTTTCATTTCAGACGTGGCTAATGTCTGTAGGAACCCTCTCTTTTTTTAAAACATAAATGTTCCTCGCATGCCCAGTGTACTGTTTCGGGATATTTCCAGTATCAGTCCCCATGGGGAGCAGTTAAGCTCTTATTTCAAACCTTAATCCTGCAAGGATCTATAAATGTATGTATCTCGGTGCCCTGTTAAGCAGGTTTATGGCTGTCCCAGCAGTTCAACAAAAAATTGTCAGAAAAAAAGAGTCTACCCTAAACACTAGGTGTGGGTTGCTCTCTCTTTTGCACCCTTTCTTCCTCTGTTGATGAGCATTTCAGTAACCCCTGTGAAGAACAGCTTTCATGAGAGACAGTCCAAATGCCCTCCATTCCTCAGCCCAGAATAGCCTGTTGCCTGATGGTTATGACATTCTCATGCAAGATGAAAGATAGGGGTTCAAGCAGCACATATAGCAAAAGAAAGTGAAATTAGGCTGTCTCCATGCCCAGTTGCTGTTGCAGTGAGAGCAGGACAAAGCCACATTGTAGGCTGTTGCACCTACTTATTTCTTTTCCTCCCACCAGAGAGGAAATGGGATTGATGTGGGGTGATACCTGTTCAGGGCTTGGAATGAGATGCTTATGTCCCAGGGAGGTTAAGGCTACTGTGAATCCCTCTTGGAGGCACCTCCATTAATCTCCATGCATGATACTAGGAACACAAGTTAACTATTGTGAATTAATTCCCTGAAGCAACTAGATGCCTAAAGGCCGTTATAGAGCCATTTTTATTCAGTCACTATGCTACTTTATCTCATAACATGTCTCTAACAGTAACCAATAGGAGATATTTTAGAGGAATATGTGTTCTGCCCGCATCCCCCTACAGTGACTGGAGATGATCCATCACCCTGTGATTAACTTTATCCTTCTATGAGCTCTCTCTGCTGTTGACAAAAAGGTATTGCAGTTGCCCGTATCACCTCTGCAGTCAGCAGTGGCCTTTTTTAAACAACAGTACAAACTCATAATGATTAGCATTGTGAAGATTAAAGTCCCTTTTTAGATCATGGCATGATAGGCAACTGCTGTCGCAATGACTGTATTGTAAAGGCCACTTATATGTCAGTGGGATGAATATCAAGCTGCTGTGGTTTGCAAAAATGTTAGCCTTCTGAAACTTTCCGTAGTGGATGGAAAGATTTACGGGTATAGTGATGCATATCTATCTCAAAATCATGTTCGGATTAAAAACTTCCTGCAGAGCTAATGTCAACTCAGGTTTCAGGTCACTGCCACAAGCTAAATCAGGTTAGAGATCAAAACCAGCAAGCAGGTACGAGGGAGACTTGCAGCTATCAAACGGGATAATCTGTAGCATGATTTTTTTATGACTGTGCACCCATAATGACATGTACAAGCAGGGAATGGTTGTGGTCTGGAATAAACTTGCTGGTTTGCCCAGTTCTGGTGAAAATTTCACGTGCTTTTCAGTATCAAAACACTATGCAAAAATAACTGGTCAGATCCAGCTAAAGTCACTTGAGTTATGTGGGGAATGAATTGGCCTCATATGCCTGAGATCTGAGTTAACATAAAAGCTACAAGTTATTCCTCGGTTGTTTTCATCAAGAAATCCAGAATAAAAAGACATTTGTTAGAGTAATTCTTTCTGTTATTGTTTTTATACAATCTTTGATTTTTGAACATCATAAATTATGTATATAAATTATAAAACCAGCTATGATTTAATATGCTTTGAGTTTTGCATCAGGTGACTCATGCCACTGACTTTTTAATTAACTAAGAAGACATCATTCTTGGCAAACTACTCGATTGCATAGGTGCATATAAGACAGTAATTGAATATCAAGGTTTATTTTTGTCCCTTTATTGATGTCAAGGGAGAACAGTGCAGTTATGAAAATGGAATATACTGAAAAGATTCCTTCGGTTCCTGCAGGTTGATTAGAACAAATGACTTTCCATTCCAGTTTTTATGAATGTATAGTTTTCTGAAAGCTTTATAATGCTTCAGGGAAAGGAAATTGCAGGCAATAAATGATACAGGATGAATCAAGTTATTGGGAAATAGAGGAATGTTTTTTATCTGAAAAGGTGAGATTTACAATCCTGCTGTATTTCTCTTAAGTGTTTGAGAAGGAATCAGATGCAGTGATTTGTACCTTTTTATGGGCATGAAAACAGTGTGAGACACTTGCTCAGTAACACCATTTGCTGATGCAGCGTGCAGTCTTTATACACCCTTGGTCTGCAGCCAGCAGGTAGGCAGTGGTGTCAAACCTTTGTCCCCTACGGTGGCCATTGGCCACTGCATTGGCCATAAAGAGTGACCACAGAGTCTGGGGGAGGTTTGTGTCTCCCGGTCAGTGAAGGCAGCAGATCTATTTTCAAATCTCAGCTTGATAAACAGCACTGTTTTTTATGGAACTGAGTTTGGCTAGACCATTCTTGCAGTGTTAGAGAGCACTACTAGTAAAGACTGTTTAATAAAGCCAGGGTATTTTTTTCTTTTTTCTATGTAGAAAGCAAAAATATGGCAACAAAGGAAAAGCTTCAGTGCTTGAAAGATTTCCACAAGGACATCCTCAAACCTTCTCCTGGCAAGAGCCCGGGGACACGGCCGGAGGATGAGGCAGAAGGAAAGCCGCCCCAGCGGGAGAAGTGGGCGAGCAAGATTGACTTTCTGCTGTCCGTGGCTGGTGGATTTATTGGTTTAGGCAACGTCTGGCGGTTTCCGTATCTCTGCTACAAAAATGGCGGAGGTGAGTATTCCTTTATTTCCTTCTCACGAATCAGTCTGTCTGCCTCATGCTTACTGTTTTTCAGTGCCTTCATCCACTTTTTAAAAAGAATAATGATACATCTGTTTTCTGCCTTCTTCACCAGTCTTCAGGAGAGATTGTTCTGTTACTTAATAGTTTTTGTTAAAACTTAATTATGGAAAACAACAGCAATTTAAAATTGTACACTACTGAACCTTTTCTGCTCTTTTACTTCTACTACAATACTCTATTTGTATAGACCAGTAGAATTTCAGACTGGTGGATTTTAGAATAAGGGCATTCTGAGCCACGTGAAACTGTTACGTGCCTAACCCCATTGTTATTGCAGATTTTCACTTTAAAAAGGTAAGAAAATGCCCTTTCCAGCTTCATATACCTGTTCCACTTGCAGAGTTTGAATATGAACAAAAATGCCCCAGAATAAGATTATTGTATCGAGTATGTTTCTTTGTTTATATATGTCTGTTAACACTTTTCAGACTATCTTGTGTAAAGTCACTCACTTAATCTCAATTTTGTACTATTATATTTTCTCAACAGGTGCATTTCTTATACCTTATTTCATTTTCCTGTTTGGGGGAGGTCTTCCCGTGTTTTTCCTGGAGGTGGTGCTAGGACAGTATACCTCTGAAGGTGGAATTACATGCTGGGAAAAGATCTGCCCTATATTCACTGGTTAGTACATCTTGTTGTGCTTTACTGCTTAAAGACACCTCTGTAAACTATGTGCAGCAACACTGTTCTCCTCATGTCCATTAATTCAGCTATTTGCTCTAGTAATTGAGGGTATGATATTGGTTTCCTGGAAAGGTAGAAGTCAGAGAGTCTGAAGGACAAAGTAAGGTATTGATTTTGATGCTATCATCTTGTTAACTGGCAGAACTGCCGATAAGCAAGCAAGAAATTGCATATTATGCCTTTAAAAATGCAATTAGACATTTTATTCACATGTATTGGAGAAAGGGTTGTTTGGGAAGGGTAGAGCCTTTTACTTAGCCTTAGTGAAAGCATCTTCAGAATATTATTCTGGTCTGGAAATCAAACTCCCTCTGCTATGTGAAAGCTTATCATTGATGTCATCCCTCTGTTACTGACACAGCCAAAACCTGGGCAGCATTTTGTGGTAGGGTTCAGGAACGGGACTTTCATCATTACTGAGCAGGTCCTGACAAACAGGTCTGATGTTGTTCAAGGGCTTTTGCCAGCAAATGAAGACTCACTCACTGCTCACAGGAACTATAAAAATGCTGCTATAGACGTTAACTAGAATTAAAAATGAAAGACAGGCTAGAAAAATCACTTAGGGTGCCTGTCTTATGTATAGATCACCCTTTACAGCTGGACAGCACAGGAAGAATCATTTGGAATAAGGACTTCACACTGACGTGTCCCAAGCTCTGCCACCATCACTGTTCCAGGCATCTCTCTCCCCTTATGTCACCCCAGACAGAAGTGAAGGCTTTCTCCGTGGCTCACACTCCCACCTAATATTCAAAATGCTGCTGAAGTTGATGTAATTGCACTGCTTTAGCTCCATTTTATTCCTCCTCCTCACACTTTTATGAAGCCTTTTTAGATCG